GGATTACTGAGCTGTTGTTCAAATGAGGAAGAAGTTCGATCGATATCCTAGGAGTGCTGTGGCTGAGACATGTATGTGGCTTGCGCCACGAGTACGGCACACCACTTTCCTCGAAATATTCGATACTTACTAGTACCAGGTCGCAAATCCGAATGTTCGATCGGTTTCCAGTCACTCGAACCAGGGATCCGTTACACTATCAGAACCCTTCCCGGAGAACTCAAGGTCCAGATCCCGGATTTCAGGCTCTGTTTGCCCAAAAGGGTTCTTTGCAGCGGCTTACCGCATCCGCATGTCCCAACTCTCAATCAACAATTTGATCATGATACTCGCTCTCCACTAGCAGTCTTGTGTTAGTCACATATTCTTTTTGCGGAATGGATCGTATTCTGGACAGTCATTCGGTTCGAAGACCTTCATGGAGGCCTCGAATGATCTCCGTCGCGCGATGTATTGTACCCATCGCGGCTTCAACTCCTGCTGCTGTAGATTTTGTTGCTAGATTAGGTCATTCAATCATCATTCATATTAGTACCGCATCTAAGCAGGACCAATTATAGCACAAGATCAAAACATTGCTTTAAGGCAATCCATGCAAACATCAAGACAATATCGAACACAGTATAACATTTCATATTACCCAAGGATCAAGCATCCACGTATAAACACAAAATACCATCCGAGGAAAACACCTTACACGTACATCGGACGTGAACATTCTTACAATCCCAACACATAAACTACATGGATGGTCCGACATTCAAAGTCTCCTGATCCAATGATGTCTCCCTCGCTTCAATTTCCCAACGTACTCAACATGTCTTGCAGTCGACTCCAGCAATCTAGTCTTCTTACTTCTCTTCCTACTTCCCGCACTTGAAGTGGCTGTTGGAAGAGCAGCTGTTGCGATATCAGTATCAGGTCCAGCTCCCATGGGAATAACCATCCCGAAGAGGCTGCCCTGACAGTTGCTGTAGCAATGAGCTTTCGTCGCTCCGCAAACTCCGACAACATGATTAACATCACCGCAACACTATTGGCTTATCAGTTAACTGGTACAGAGAAAGTTCAAATCAGACTTAACAACAAACGGCCAAGACTTACCTGACCGAATATGCTACCCAGACAGGTAGTATATGGACCGTTAGGGCCCCCGCCGCATCTTCCATCTGTGCTTATGGGATAGGTTTGGAGGGGGTCGGATGCGGTTGAGGCTGAGGTGGACGTAGATGCAGAGCTTATGGGTCCAGGAACTATGACGATAATTGAGACAGCAGGCCCGGTGGGAGTTGGCGACGTGCCATTTCCATTCGGTAAGATGGTTATCTGAAGGACCGTATCTGTCGATGAATTTGACCTGAAAGCAGACGGAGCAGACGTGGCTGAAGTGGTAATTGATGGAGATGACGTCGATAAAGAGCTGTTTGAGGACCTGGAAGTCGATAGAACAGGTGTTGTCAGAGTGGTATTCGACGAGGAGGGCGTGGACAAAGAGCTATTTGATGAGCTGGGCGTCGACAGAGCAGATGTATTTGAAACGGTAAGTGATGGGAAGGACATCGATGAAGGTCCATTTGACGAGCTCGAAGTTGACAGGACAGGTGCGGAGGATATCGTGGCAGGTGGAGAGGAAATTGACAGAGTGCCATTGGATAAAGAGATCGTAGAGTTTCTAACAATAGTGCTGGAAACTGTTACGATAGACGGGCTAGATGATACCAAGGTGGGGCTCGATGAGGGCGGGACAAAGGGGAGGCCCGAGGTTGAGGTCACCTGTGTTGTAATGAACACTGTCCTCATTGTGCCTGGCAAGCCGGTAGACGTTGACGCTGAAGTCAACGTTGTGGACGCATGGGAGCTTGAGGAACTGATTGACTGAGCTGTGACTGAGAAGGTAGTCGACGACCGCGAAGAGGTGAAGGTTGATGGAGGTGTGCTGCTTTGTGAGGTCGTTGTAACAAAGCTTGAGCCCGCAAGATTCAAGGCCTGACTCGGACCTACGCTCGTTAAGGAGCTGGGCTGAAGTGAACCTGAGGGTGAAAGGAAGTGCAAAGACGTCGATGTAGATGTACTGATTAGTCCGGTGGTGGAAACGAACTCCGAGGCTGTAAGATTCATAGCCACGTTGAGAGTTGGCACGGCCATTGACCGTGAGGTTCCATTCGTAGTAAGGGTGGCAGCAGACGCCAGCGCTTGTATTGGGGCATATTGACCACCGTAGTACTGAAGAGTGAGATTGCTTGCAGCTGGGATAGTGTAATTGAGTTTGTTCTGTCGAGTCAACACTTTGAATGCATCAGGAGGACCGATGAAGTTGCTGGCGTTGCACGCAGCCTGAATGATATTGCACTTGGCTTCCCATACTTTGCAACCTTCTGAGCCTGTTGGTGGTGCGGTATCGTAGCACATTGTGGTCTGATTGAAGCATGATGTGCTTGCCTGAAAGTCATTAGTTACAAGATGCAGATTGGGACATTGCTTGGAGAGAACTTGCATTCCAACATCCATCAGAGGTAGAATATGGGTCTAGATCAACTGCCCACCAATTCGCGTTCGTGTATATCGTGCCAGTCGGTAGAAAAGACTGATCGTGATCCACTCTCAGAACCTTCACGGAAGGATCGCCACTGGCAAATGGTGGAGGACCAGGCATTATGTACGGCCATTTAGGATTGTAGATGTTGAATATCACTGAAGGATCATTCGCGGTCAAGTATCCAGGGATGGAAACAGTGTTGTTCGGAAGGATGCCATCTGCGGCAGGTAACCCCAAGTAGATTTGGGCACATCCGACATAGAACTGTGGGTCTGGGGGCGTTTTGTCTGCCTCGTGAAGTGCGAGCAATTCAGTGCGGACGAGATAGTATCCGTCGACCAGGTCAGCAGGTACGTTGACAGAAATGAGTCCCAGGTTGTCAATGAGCCTCTCCGTACACCATTTAGAAGTAGCATTATCATAGCCATCATCCCATATCTTGAACCAGGATCCACCATCAGCTTCCACCGCGGGAGTCTCGACATATTTCATGTAGACTGCGCAAGGACCTTTGTGCGAGGGGTCGATGGCACCGGGCGTTGTCCCATCGGGCGTTTCACGGAACAGGAAGCTGAGCTTCGATCCAGAGTTAGCAAGGCAAGCTCGAGGGACGTAGGTATTGCCGCCATTTCCTATGAGAAATCAGCATCATGTACTGAGTGCCCGGTACTCTCTTCTGCGAGGACATATCACAAGCCATATCGATGTCCCATATCCTGGCAACAGGATCAGTGGCGTTCCCTGGTGTCATGGGCATGCGTACGCAAGTACCATCGCCCTGGTTGACATCGTTAATGAAAAGAGTTGTAAACAGGGTATGAGCAGCCACTGCCTGCAGTGCTGCGAGTCCATAAGCGAGTGTAAGTCTCATAGTTTTGTGAGATCGAGTCTTGGTTGTCCAAGTCTTTGCAGAGCGAGCGGGGTGAAGTTGGTATGACGAAGGTGCCTTGAAGAGCGGCTGGCTACTTATGCACGTGCTGCATCGCGGGTGAATCGAATTTGCTCGCAGAACGGCCAATTGACTCGAAATCGAGGCAAACAACGCCTCACTGAATCGAAAATGCGCCAATTGACCTTGTTTAAGGTCGTGAATCGAAATTTCGGGCAGCAGACAGCCAATTGACTCGAAATTGGGGCAATCGACTTTGTCTAAAGTCGTGAATCGAAAATCGCTTGTAGAACGTCCAATTGACTCGAAAATGGACGAGAAACACATCAATGAATTGAAGATGCACCAATTGTTCTTGTCTGAAGTCGTGAATCGAAAAATGCATGCGTAAGTGCCAATTGACTCTGATCTGGTGCAATCAACACCTCTCCGAATCGGATATGCGCCAATTAGCCCAGTCTAAAGGTGTGAATCGAAATTGGCTTGCGGGATGGCTAACTGACTTAAAATTGGGGCAAGGAATAGCTGTCAAAACGAATTGACCCTGTCTAAGTTCGTGAATCGAATTCACCCTCTCTGAATATGTGAATCAAAAATTGCTAGCAGAAGACGCAACTTTTAGTCTGAACCGATTCGTGAAAACGACAAGCTTTTACTACAGGTAAGAGCCCTAGAGAATGTCCTAAGAATACATAGGACATTGAGATGCGAGATCTTGACAAGAGTAAGACAAGCAGTAGGAACGAAAGAAGAAAGGAAGGGCCCACCTTGTGGTTGGTGTTACCCATGGGTCTGTTAAAGATTGAAAACATCACCGCTCCATAGTCCCCCTTCCTCATTCCTCCATAACACCTCCTTCACGTGAACACAGCCTCGTCCCCCATCACGTCATGTCATCCACCTCCGTATTCTCCTTATCCCACCCCATCCCCATCCCCTATCCCCACCACCCACCTAGCCGCCCCCACGTCTCG